GATGGTCCTGGTTCTGATGCTGACTCTGTATGTCTGTTCGTTGATGGCTTCTGACTCTGAAGTGTCCTGGTTCTGATGGTTCTGCACCCTGTATGGTCCTTGGTTCTGAAGGTTCTACTCTGTGTGGTCAGGTTTGAGGGTTCTCGACCTTGGTGTGTGTCCTCGTTCTGATGGTGCGACCTGGTATGGTTCCTGTTTCTGACTGGTTCTGATGGTTTTCTGACTCGGTACTGGTTCTCGCCCTGTGTGGTCTGGTTCTGACTCTGTATGTCCTGGTTTACCTGTATGGTCCTGTTCTACTTATGTGTGGTCCTGGTTCTGACCTGTAATTGTTCTAGACTCTTGTAGTGGCTCTTTCTGATCGGCTTCCTGATGCTGACCCCTGGATCGTTCTGATCTGGGACCCTCGTATGGTTCTGGTTCTGCTGACTCGTGTGGGTCTGGTTCTGCATGGTTCTGACTCTGTGTGGTCTGGTGTTGACTCTGGTATGTGCTTGGTACTCACCCAGGTAGGTTCTGCTGTCCTGGTATCAGCCGGGGTCACCTCTCTCCATACAGCCCACTTTCTCGGCAACCTTTTGAGTTGACGAAGGTTTTCCTGCGAGAATTTCCTCAGCTGCCGACCGCTGAGCCGCTCGATGCGTCAGGCAGCATCAGGTCGACAGGGACTTCCCTGCCGGCCCGAAACCGGCGCCTGTCCTCCGTGGTCCCTAGTTCTGACCCGAAGACATGCAAGAGAATCAGAATCCAGACTCAACACAGACCACTGGTGGACCCCAGGAACCATGTTCTGGCGTTAACCGGATGGTCTTCGTCACTTGAACGTCGGCTCTGCGTGGGCGGTCTCTGTCGGCGGGGCTGGGCTTTCGGGTTCTGCAGCGGGGGCTCCGGGGGTCAGCCCGGTGGCGTGTGTGGTCCGGAGTCGAGTGGGAGACGTAGGGGTTCGGGTCCCGGAGGGTCGGGGTGCATCAAGAGGGAGCTCGGGCGAATCAGGGTCTCTGGGCGTTCACTGGAGTGCTGAAGGCTGCTGACCGAGGACCCATTCCACCAGCCTCCTCCTGAAGGACAGAGGACTGGTTAACTGGTTATAAAGTAACCGATGTATGAAGTAACCATTATCAAAAGTAACTGATTATAAGAACTGATTATAAAGTAACGAGGGTATAAAAGGTAAACTGTTATAAAAGTAACTCATTATACAAGTAACGATTGATAAAGTAACCGTATAAAAGTAACTGTTATGTATAATTGTAACTAGTTAAAATGTTAACCGATTTTTACAAGTTACACCTCACACCTCAACTCCACATCAACACACCCACACCCACCACCACACCGCCCAACCCCTCGCTACCACACACCAAATACACATCAACCAACCCACACACACACCACCCGGCCTCAATGAGATATAACACACATCACCCACGTATCCCCGCCTCTCACCTCAGTTACACTCTATACAACACTACCCCGCCCGCAATCTCCTTCACAAACAACCTCCGCCCACACCAGCCGCCCTTCTATCCCCCGCCACCACCCCCCAGCCTCCCCAAAAAACAACATGATAAGATATAAACCAGATAATAAAGTTAAATACTGATTACATAAGATAAAAGAAAACGCATAATAAGAAGGGAAATAATATAAAAACAAAACAAAGGTGACTTATACAAGTCAACCGCGAGTTAAAAGAAAAAAAAAACAGTAACTAAATAAAATAAAAAGTAAATAGACAATAATAAAAAAGATAAAACTAACAGTAAATAAAGTCAAAGATAAATATAAAACAAGTAAACAAAGAAATAAATACCAGATATAAAATAGATAAAGAAGTAAAACGAAAAAAATAGACCAAAACCAGAAAATGAAAATAAAAAAAAAATGATTACTTCACTGGTACTTAAAGGGGAAGGGTGCTCACCTACAGCTCGGACGTGTATTTCACAAATATCACGGCGTCACCGTCCTCACCGCTTATCTACCGCCTTGCTGGGATGGGTCCTTTTGTTCGCCTGGGCAATTTTCCGTGCGGGTAAGCACATATACGGGGTGGCTTAAGCACATTTTATGACTATCCTAGACTTGTTATTGAAAAGAGAAGAGAAAATGCAAAGAAGATATAAAATAGAAATACAGCGAAGAAAGACCATAATATAATAAGTTCTCGCTCCGTGTTCGTCGTTCTGCGTGAACGTAAACATTTCCGTAGAGACACATATAAAGAGAAGATCAATAAAAGATAAATAAGACAGAATTATACCACCATGGAACGCCTGTGGGGGGGGGGCCGCCCATCATTTCACGGAACAGGCCATTTACCATTCCAAAGTATTTTAAACGGGTTCATAAGCTGAAAAAGTTCTCAAGACTGCCCGTTGGAGTTCTGAGTAATAGTGTCGTAATGCTTACAGTGTAAAATCACTACTCTTTAATTACTGCATACTCAATAAGAAGACAACAAAAAGAAATAAATATACCTCAAAAGAAAGATAAAAAAAATTTGACTTAAAGACTTCTGTAAACAAGTAAATGAGAGTGAAATATAAGGGATAATAATTCAGCAGACAGAGAGACTAAACTTCTTAACCACCTGAAGCCTCAGAGACCTCCAGCTCCCAAAGAGTCCACCCCTACTGAGGCGAACTGCCCTCTCGACACTCTGAGCAAACACCGAACAACAACGACTAACCAAAAGAAATCAGACTAACTACAGCACAGTGTACAGAAAGCCTGTCTGGACCATTGGGACGAAACAACTGTTATGCCTTGCTAAAGGAGCAGAATCTCTCGTATGAGAATAAACCACGTCCAGGCTCAGTGAATATTTATTTGTCTACAGACCACTCACACAATAATTGTTGTTTTGGTTTTCACTGCAAATCAAGCTACAAGAGAGCCCAGAGACAGAGAGAGAATCAGAGAGACGAGAGAGACAGAGAGCAGACGCGGAGAGAGAGGAGACACGGCCCCGCGAGAACGAAGGAGACAGAGAGGAGAGACAGACAGAGAGAGAGACAGAGAGAGAGAGACAGAGGGGACAGAGAGAGAGGGTAGAGAGAGCAAGGAGACAGGAGAGAAGTCAGGAGAACGAGAGAGAGAACGACGAGAGCAGAAAGAGACAGAGAGCTGGAAGGGAGAGACAGAGAGAGGACGAGAGAGAGAGGAGAGAGAGAGGAACAGAGAGAGAGGAGAAAGCAGTGAGAGAGAGCAGCAAGAGAGAGACAGGAGAGAGAGGAATGCGTAGGGGAAGACAGACGGAGAGAAGGAGAGAGACAGAGAGGAGGAGATGCCGAGGACGAGCACAGGAGACGCAGAGCAGACACGGACCAGTCAGAGAGCAGACGAGAGAGAAGAGACGAGAGACGAAGAGAGAGAGAGAGGACAGAGGATGAGAGAGGAACAGTGAGAGAAGAGACCACACCAGAGGAGGAGAGGGAGCACTAAACAAGAGAGGGAGACGTAGAGAGACAATGCAGGAGAGAAGATGAGAGCAGAGAGGAAGAGAGACGAGAGAGACAGTGTCGAGTCAGACAGAGAGGAGAGATGAGAGAGCAACAATGATGAGCAGAACAGAGCAGAACACGAGAGAGAGGAGACGAACAGAGAGAGACGAGACGCAGGCGAGACAGCAGAGAGAGAACAAGTAAGTAACGAGAGAGACGAGAGCGCGGAGACGACACCCAGAGAGAGCACACGAGACACAGAGAGAGAGGGACCCGACGAGAGACAGAGACTCCAGTAGAGAGGAGAAGAGCACAAAGGACGCGGAGAGAAGGAGAGAAAGCAGAGAGAGAGATGACAGAGAGAGAGAAGAGAGAGGAGAGAACACGAGAACAAAGAACAACAACCACACCGAGAGAGAAGCGACGGAGAGAGAGCGGAGGAGAGACAAAGAGAGACAGGGAGAGAGATGAGAGAGAGAGAGACAGAGCAGAGAGACACCTAGAGAGAGAGAGAGAGAAGAGAGAGAGACAAGAGGCGCAGAAGATCAGCCGAGGAAGAAGAGAGAGACAGAGAGCAGAGACAGAAGAGAGAGACAGACGAAGAGGAAAACCAGAGAGAGACAGAGAGAGGAGAGAACAAAGAAGGGAGAAGAGAGAAGAAGAGAACAGAAAAAGATATGAAAAGAAAGACAGAAGAGAAACAGAGACAGAGGAGAGGCAGGAGACCACCGAACGAGAGAGACAGAGAGGAGAAGAGCGAGACAGAGAGAGAGAGGAGAGAGACAAGAGACAGAGAGAGAGAGGATCAGAGAAGGACACGAGACAGAGAGCAGAGAGAACGATCAGAGAGAAGACAGAGAGAAGAGGACGAGAGAGATGGCAACATCACTAAGACAGAAGTAAAAGAGCAAAGAAGAAAAGAAGAAAGATAGACACGAGACGAGAGAGACAGAGAGAGAGAGCAAGAAGAACAACAAAACCGGAAGAAGAGATAAAAAAAAAAAATCCGTTCTCTGCGGTCTCTGTCTCTCTCCTCTCTGTTATTCTCTCCTGTCTCTCTCTCTCTTCTCTGTCCTCTCTCTTCTTCTCTGTCTCCCGGTCTGTTCTGCTCTCTCGTGTCTCGTCTTTCTCTCTGTCTTCCTCCTCCTCTGTCGGCATCTGATTCTCTCTCTTCTCTCATCGTCCTCTGTCTCTCTCCTCTCTCCTGTCTCTCTCTCTCAAATCTCCTTTCTCTGTCTCTCTCCGTCTCTGTCTCCTCTCCTCTCTCTCTCTCGTCTGCGTCTCTCTCTCTGTTCTCGTCTCTCTGTCTGTCTCTCCTCTCTTCTCTGTCCTTCCTCGTTAAAATAATAAAATCATACCACAACAAATAAATTATATATAAATGTATAATAATATATATATATCCAATCATACAAAAAAAATACAACATAAAAAAAAATAAAAAAAAAAAAAAAAAAAAAAAAAAAAAAAAAACACAATCGACAATATACAAAACACTAGAAATCAATCATACAATCAATACACAATATCATCCATAAACCTCAAAAAAATCATGTATACAAATATCTCTGTCTACAACAAACATACATACAATCCAAAAATCAACATACTACAATAGAAAACAATCAAACAAACTATCAGAAAGTTACAATCATCTCAATCACAACTACAAAAAAAACAAATGAAACAAAAAACAAATATACTATCATCAATCTCATGAAATACATAACAACTACCAATCACATCACATATGATACAACAAATCAACTAATTACCAATAAATATAAATTCAAACTAACCAATCAATCATAATATTAATACCAATCAATCACAAAAAAACAATAGATCATATAAAATACTTCTCTCAATACACAAAAAACATCATCAAAAACTAACAACATCATCAAAAAGGATAAATACAATCTCATTCAAACACTGAAAACACAAAATAATACCACACATTACACCTCAAATCCATCACATCAAATCTAACAAATCCATCGAAAATAAACAAAAAAACAACAAAAAGAAAAATCATCAGGATAACAAAAACAATCAAAAACAAAAAATACAAAAAAAAAAAAACAACAAAAAAACAAAACAACAAAAAAAAAAAAAACTCCGTGACCTCCTTTCGTCTCCTCCCGATTCATAACGGACTGGTTTCATTTGCTCTGTCTTCTTCTCTCTCCTGTCTTCTCTGTGCGGCACTCTCTCTGTCTCTCTATCCTCTCTCTCTGCTTCTTCTGGGTATCGTCATCTCGCCTGTCTCTCTCGGTTCTTGGTCTAGTCGTCAACGTGCGATCTCGGTCGCATCTTTCGCTCTCTCGATTGCTTCTCTCCTCCGCGGGTTGTGAAAATAACATATAAGCGTCTAACATGCATCATACCAATTCAATCAGTCACTCACAATCAATAACAATCAAAAAACAATGAGACAAAAAATAACATCGACAACAAAATACCGTACTGTCTCTCTCTCTCAGCCTGAAATCCTAAACAAATAACTACAAACTTAAGATACAAGAACAGACTACAATCCCATCAATAAGAAGTACTCACACTAAGAAATCAATTCTAACAATAAACAATCCAACATCTAACAAACACACAATCAAATACCTCACATATCAAACACGTACGAACCACCAAACAGAAAACAACACACAGTTAACTGTAAAATACACAACAAAACAAAGTATGCGTCAACCACACCCTCACCACACCTCGTCCTCACCCACTCCCCTGCCCCCTTCCCCCCCCCCCCCCCCGGCCCTCCTACCACCCTGGGTCTGGTTTACCCCTCCCTCTCCTCCCGCCCCGGGCCTCACGCCCTCCTCTTCTCTCTCTCTCTCTGTCTCTCTCGCGGTCTCGTCGTCATCTCTCCTGTTCATCCTTCTCTTCTCTTCCGTCTGTTCGTCTTCTCTCTGTTCTGTCTCTCTCTGTCCTCTTTCTCGGATGCTTATTTGTGGGCACTCGGTCGTCTCTCTCTGTCTGGGTTTCCCTCTCTTCTCCTCTTGTGCCTTGTGCTTTGGGTTCGTAGGGGGGTTTCTGCACTGTTTTCCTGTGCTTTTGGATGCGCTGGACGTGTTGTGCCGGTGTCAAGGTGGTGGTCCTGTCTTCTCCCTCTCATGTCTCGTCTCTCTCGCGTCTGTCTCCTCTCTCGAGTGTGTACGGTCGGTGTCTCGGTCTCGTCTCGTCCTCTCTCTCTCTCCTGCTCTCGTCTCTTCTCCCGTCTGCGCGTCTCTTGCTCCTCGCGGGCACGCGCTCTCTCTCTCTCTCCTGTTCTCTCTCTCTGTCTCTCTCGTCTGTCGTCTCTCTCTCTTCTGCTCTCTTCATCGTCTGTCTCTCTCTCTTCTCCTCTCTCTCTGTCTCTCTCTCTCTCTGGTTCTCTCTCTCGTGCTCTCTCTGTCCTCTTTAGCTTTATTGGCATGAAAAAAAAAAACAATATTGTGAAGGTCTTAAAACAAATAAATGTTCTATCACTGAAGCTGGACGTGTTACGACACCTGTCTCTGAAGTACAGAGAGATCTGTCCTTTAAGGCAGATAACAGTTTGTGTTTTCTTCAATGTGCCCAGACAGCTTTCTTTCACACTTGAGTTAGCTTTATCTGACTTACTGTCTGTAGAGCAGTGTTGCTTGTTGTTGTTGTTGTTGTTGTGTGTTGTGGCTCAGATGTGAGAGGGCATGGTCGCCTCATACGCAAGCTGACTCTCTTTGAGTGAGGCGGGTCTCTGAGTCGGTGGTTAAAGAATGCTTCACGCTCTCTGCTCGAATTATTATGTTTAGTTTACTCGACTTTAACCTATTTACAGAAGTCTTTTATTAGAACTCTTCTTGTACGCTGAGAAGTCGCTGTGTTCTCTTCCCTTACTTGAGTAATGCAGAATAACAAGGTAGTTGATTTTAACTGTAGGCATTACGGTCGCGCGACACGTACTTCACCAGCAAACTTAAAGGGCACCTTGAATTTTCAAGCTTAATAAAACCGCGTTTAGAAATCATTTGGATTGGTTATAATGGCCGTGTGCTCCGGTGATAATGGTGAACCCCCCCCCAGGCGACCCCCAGGCAGAAAACAACCTTAAACTCTTGGACTACCTCCGGTAAACTGGAAAAAGGCGGTATCACCGAGAGGTCAGAACCATCAGAACCAGGACCATACAGAGTCAGAACCAGGACCATCAGAACCAGGACCATACAGAGTCAGAACCAGTTTTAGTTTTCCTGCTAATATCCGACTGATGACTGACAGCTGATCAATAATCATCACCCTCTGATCGTTAAAGGTCAAACAGAACGACGTGTTACTTTAATGTCTGTTTGTCTTTCAGCCGCCAACGCTGTGAACGCTTCCGGTGAGTTCTCCGACAGAACCTCACGTCATTAGAACTAATGAAACTCTCAGAGAACAGTTTGTAATTAGTTAATGTCCTTTACTGTGTCCCTGTAGAGTCCGGCGGCGGAGGCGGTCCCGCGGGTCCGGAGGAGAACCTCTGTAAGATCTGTATGGACTCTCCCATCGACTGCGTCCTGCTGGAGTGCGGTCACATGATCACCTGCACCAAGTGCGGCAAGAGGATGAGCGAGTGTCCCATCTGCCGCCAGTACGTCGTCCGAGCCGTCCACGTCTTCCGGTCCTGAGCGCGCCGACCCCTGACCTGCACCCAGGTGAACCCCGACTGGATCAGTGGAGTTTTATAATCCTTTATTGGGGCGCTGCACATCGTCAGCTCAGTTAGATTCTCCACAGTTCAAATCCGTCACCTTATTTTATGGAGACTATGATTTTAATACGTTAAATTTACTGTAAATTGTAAAATGTACTTAATGAAACTCAGAAGAGAAGCATTACAGTTAGAGAGGTTTTCCATCTGAGATTTCTGCTAAAGGAATTAAGAACGTCCCAAATAGAGGCCTGTCCCATTTTGACAAACGTTTAAACGTTTATATTTGTGTAGGCGATCTAACCGGTTTAAAACTCGCTCTAGGGGGCGATAAGATGTTTTATACGTTCAGATCATTTCTATAAAATCCAGACCAGGCCTTTATTGGAGACCTGCGTTTATTAGAAGTTTTACGGTATTAATCATTCTGTACAAACATGGAACCAGTGCTGATTCTCTTTCATATCCTTTGTTTTATTTTTGCCACTTTGGAAGTAAAATATGTGTTAAATTGAATTCATAAAGGTCTTAAAGAGTTAAATTTAACCTGTTTCGAATCAGAAAGTCTTTCTCTGTTTCTCTGATTCGCTGCTTTATTCTCTGTAACGTATAATAATATAATTTAAAGGGGAGAGTTGTACAGTTGCCATTAACGGGGTCCAAAAGTCTGTAAACATGTTTATTCCTGCTGTAAAGTTGCCCATTTTAATATGGGGCCTTATGGAGACTCACTACTGGAGCCAGCCTCTAGTGGACAGTAGAGGAACTGCAGGTTTTCTTACTTCAGTGTTGCTGCTTGTACAGACCAAAGCTTGTTTTCTTGACAGACGAACATCGTCAACAAGTATTTTTTAGTTTCTTCCACTCCCAGTTTTATCTAACCAGAATTCCTCATTAACTTCTTAAACTCTCCGTCTCTATAAACTCGTGATGATTAAAACCTTCCTCCTCTTCTTCTCCTCCGCAGGGTCGAGTGCCTCCAAAGAAATAACCTGCAAACCGATCCTCCTGAAGGGACCTTCTACAGAGACAGAAAATGTTTCTATTTTGTTAATTCTATTTTTCTCGTGCGAATAAGATGTGCGGTACGTCCGTATGAAGAATGTAAGAAGTGACCTTATCAGACTGCAGAGCTGCTGTTTGAATAAAAACACTGAATGTACAGACCGACTCTACGGGAGGCGGATCGCATCTCTGAATCACGAACTTTAACCTCATCGACCGAGAATCTTCTGTGCCTTCGCCAGCTCGTAACTCTGGACCTGCTCGCTGTGAAGAAGGTCGGTTTTTAAAAAAAAAAACGGGATCCAGTAACGGATCCTGAAACTGTAAGGGATCTTGAAACTGTAAGGGAGCGTAGACGGGTGAGGAGGGTCCGCTCTGGCCTTCATAAAGTCACCACATCGCCTTTAACTTCCTGAGACACTCAGACTGTGTGACAGCCTCTACTTTGTTTACAGTCTGCAGTGAGTTTACACTGTAGAAATAACTAGATGAGGTTAAAGTCGATTAAAGTCAGCGGACCTCTGAGTGTGCGCTTCCCACTCTCAGCCTCAGTTTAATGTTTACGCACCGATATCTGAGTAACACAACCCAAACTAGTAATTAATGCTGTTTTCAGACCAGCAGCCATTCAGATGCCTTCAGATCAGATTATCAGCAGGAATATGACCTCTGACCTCCGCCCAACCACGCACACTGAGCCCCGCCCCCAGCCTCAGGTGATCGGGGCTACACCTGTCATTCACACCTTTACCTGCAGACACTCAGGTTAGCATCCAGCAGCTGGAACATGTCGACAGTCGAATGTCTGGTAGAGCGAACGCTGCTCAGTTTTCAGTTTTAACACTCTTGATAATAACTGGATAAACAACCGGATCAGTGTCTTTGCAAATTCTAGCGCTGTAACAACAAATATAATATTTTTTGACTCTTATCGTACTTTACATTTTCACTTCAAGCCTAAACTGTTTCAGGATTATATTTTAGCATTTAAAATGAGATGTGATTGTTTTTATTTGATACAAATATCAAGTACTTGATCCTTCCTAAGCCCCGCCCCTTTGTGGTATCTGCTCCAATAACAGTTGAGCATATGTTATGCTAAGCTAACCTATGTTTAACAGAAAACCACATTTTGTATATACCTCCATGTTGATTGTATGAAAGTCACCTCAATAGAAATCACATTTCCACATTCTTGTTCTCCTACAGCTATATCTATATACAGACATATAAACATATGTATATATATAATAATAATAATCTACATTACTCGTTAGTTAGCTCAGTGGTTTTCAAACGGGGGTCCTTGAGTCGGTTGTAAATCCAGCAAAAGGAGGAAGAGAATATTTTAACTGTTATCAATAAAGTAGGCTGATTTTATTGATTCAGAATGTGGTTTGTCTTTTTAACATAGATTAGCCTAGCATATAGCATATCTAAGTACAGGAAAGGAGGAGGAGAGGAAGGAAATGGGCAGGGCTTAAGAAGGGTCAATTCATTGTCGAAAAAGCAATAATCTGACAAAATTTAATCTCAATTTAATCCTATTTTTCTATGAGCTTTAAGAACTCCCTTTCAGTTTATCTAACACGCCTTTGGAGACTGTCGAGTGTTTTAATCCATCAAAGATCAGATGCAGAAACAATACAATTAAGATTATGTGGAGAATGAAATATCCAATTACAAATGAATAATTAATAAATATAACTCAATTCAGTAAATTCCTATTTGTCCTGTAATTAGTACTAGGACTCTTAAGTATTTTCAAATAACTGATAAAATAGTTTGGTCTAAAATATTTCTTCAAACGTTTGTCGGACCAACAATCAAAACCAAAAATATTCTGTTTATTACTGTAGAAGACAATTGAAAGTGAAGCTGGAGCGTTTGATAGATCAGCAAAGAATAGTTGCATTGATGTGAATAAAGCGTTTGTGTGAAAAATTACACACTTATCACTTCTCACCCTCCATGCAGCAGACTAACAGGATCCACCAGGCGGCAGCAGACACAGGAAACACACATTTTACTTGGTGCTAAGCTAGGCTAGCAGTTTCAAACTCTCCCCAGTCTTTGTGCTAAGCTAACCATGGACCCAGGGCTGTAGCTTACCATGAGGTCATTGCCTGATTATATTTTCTTTCAGGGACTTTGACAGATATTATTTTTTGTGTTTTTTAGGTGATTCCAGTGTTTTTGGACTCAAAATATTAATATTTGTGACAAACTTTAGGGCAATAAAGGAATTCTTGCCAGCGTGGAGAAGTGTTGAGACAACATTTAGCCTTTATTTTTGGAAAATAAAATAGTGAACGCTCGGTATAATCTGCTACTAATTACAAGGAAAACAGAGAAACAGTTCTGAGACAGTTATTCAGAGTTTATGCGGTTGGGTTGAGTTTGTAAACACTTGCAGAAAGTGTGATGGAACCGCTTAATTTCTGTCCTGTACCTATCACTGGACACAGAACAAGAGGATTTCCTAAATACTGAACATGTTCTTTTAAATCTACATTAGGTGGGATACAAACAATAGAAGGGACTATTATATCCTGAGGGACACAACGTTTTTACCAGACATGATATACAAGAGATGCTTTACTGATCCTTAAAATCTACATCAGGTTTAATAGAAACAACAGAGGCACCAGGACGCTTCCCTGAGGGACTCCACATGTTATTGAAGACAGAGAACAACATGACTTATTAATCTTTACCAGCAGACTGTCTCTGTTTATTGTTGAGCGAGGACTAGCAGTTAAACTCTGTGGTTTTAAGTCGACTTTGTGTCTTGTTGTAACACTGATTGCACTAATCTGTTGATGCTGAAACATTTTTCAACTTCTTCAGTTGATCTGTTTTGGTCGAAGAGTATTGTTCTGGAAAGATTATGCAGGATACATATTTTGTCTTTATTTTTCTTGAGGTTTTGTTCTTGTGAGATCATTTAAGTTTGATTTTTTTTGTTGTGAATATTTTAGATTTTGAGTTTTTTGTGATATGATGGTTGTTAGTACTTTTGGGAATCACACTTTTCCTCTGTAAGTCTTTCCCTTTCGGTTGTACAGTGGGATCATGCTAGCTCTCATTAAGTTTCTCTGCACTTTGATTTCTCTGCTACCGTATAGCTGAATAATGTAATAATCACAGTTCTGTGAGAGTTTTATATGACCAAAGCTCCCAAAATACACAATCTCTTCTTCAGGTGTCTGTTAGCATCTGTCGCTGTCTCCACTGAGACCAACACAGCTGCAAGCTAACGTCGGTTCGGTTTTAACTCCTCACATACTTTTCAAATACTTTGTGGTCTGTAAAAAATAAATATTTTAGAAATTGAACAGAAAAAGAAGAAGCTTTAGTTTTCTGAGTGAACTTTGCTGAATTATTTTGTAATAAAACTGATTTTCTCTCAGTTGTGTGTCCGGTGCTCAGTGATGTTTTTATTTTATTTTTTTATAAAATATTTTTATTTTTATAACAACAGTAACAGGTTCCAGGACGGTTCCTGTCAGACAGACAAAAAATAATTACTCTACTCTACTTTTAATTTTTGTTTCAAGGTAGCTACTAATTCCAGCTACATATTAGCTCCAGAGGAAACTTAAGATAAGAAATTAAAGTTGAAGTAAAGAAAATAGAATAATAAAACATATACACTATATACAATAAAATAGAATAATAAAACATATAC